GTTTTCTTGCAGACGTTTCATGGCCCAACTAGGGAACATCATCAGTGTTTGAAAGGTATGGGGTTTGTGGAGTGAAAGAGAGGAGGAGGAGGACTGTGAGGTTATTCTCTGAGCTTGGTGGTTTCCTTGCAGATGTTTCATTACCCAACTAGGTAACATCATCAGTGCTAGAAGGGAGAGGAGAGGAGGGGAAGGAAGGAAGGAAGGAAGGAAGGGAGGAGGAGGACTGTGGGATCCTTGGGGCTCCCTGGGCTGGGTGGTTTTCTTGAAGACGTTTCATGGGGCAACTAAGGATCATCATCAGTGCTAGAAGGAGAGGGTTGTGGAGAGGAGCAGGAACTGTGGGGTCCTTTGTGTTGTCTGAACTGAATTGTTTTCTTGCAAATTGTTTTGCCACCCAAATAGGGAACATGCAGAGCAAAATCACTTCCCTTCCAGCCCTGATGATGTTACCTAACTGGGTCATGAAACGTCTCCCCCAAAACAACCACAGAAACATAGAAAAGTGACGACAGAAAAAGACCAGGGGGATCCACCCAGTCTGCCTTTTGAGGTTTTCTTTTTCTTTCTAATCAGTTGATTATTATAAATGTATTAAAATGTATTTAGGTCTTTGTCAGGTGATGGATAGGTGTTTATCCCAAGCATGTTTAAACTCGGGTTACCGAGGATTGACCCGCTACCTCCACTGGACGTGGGTTCCAAGCTTCCAATATGGGTAGTCCTCGATTTATGACCACAATTGAGGCTGAAAATTTATGTTGTTAAGTGAGACTTTGGTTAAGTTGAGTTTTGCCTTGTTTTACAACCTTTCTTGCCACCATTGTTAAGTGAATCACTGCCGTTGGTAAGTTAGTGACCCGGTTGTTAAGCGAATCTGGCTTCCCCATTGACTTTGCTTGTCAGAAGGTTGCAAAATGAGATCATATGATCCCCCTGGGACACTGTGACTGTCATAAGTATGAGTCAAGGGTCTGAATGTTGATCTTGTGGACCCCCCCCGTGTGATCACGCTGCAATAGTCATAAGCGTGAAAAAAAGACATAAGTCACTTTTGTCAGTGCCGTTGTAACTTTGGACGGTCACTAAATGAACTGTTGTAAGTCGAGGACTATCTCTATTTGTGATGGTTGTCAGAAGGTCGCAAAAGGGGACCAAATGACCCCACAGGACATAGCAACGGTCATAAGTACGAGTCAGTTTGCCAAGCATCTTAATTTTGATCACATGATCTTGGGAACGCTGCAACTGTCGTTAAGTGTGAAAAACAGTCCTAAGTCAGGTTTTTTTCAGCGCCGTTCTAACCTCAAGTCACTAAATGAGGACTACCTGTATAGCGGGATTAGGATCAAGCTCAGAGACCACCCAGAACCCCCCTATGGTTCAACCCAGGGCTACAAAAATGGTCTTGGCTTTAAATTTGAATTCTTTTGGTGAAATTGAAAGAGAAACTGGCGGCAAGCACCGACTCCCGCTAGGGCCATGATGGCGAACGTGTGGCCCGTGTGCCAGAGGTGGCATGTACCATTGCCAGCTGCTCTTCTGGTTCCTGGCATGCACATGAGTGCTGGGCAGCTGGTCTTCACAGCCGCCGGAGCACCGGAATACGGCCCGAAAATCAGCCAAAAAAACAGGCCTTTTTTCAAGCTATTTTTCGGGCTGTTTTTGGCCCGAAAACGGTCTGAAAATAGATCGTAAAACGGCCTGAAAACAGCCCAGAAAATAGCCTGAGGAACGTCCTGGGAAATGGTCTGAAAAACAGCTTGAAAACGGCCAAAAACGGCCTGAAAAATGGTCTGAAAATGGCCGGAGAAACAGTCTGAAAAATGGCCTGAGAAACGGCCTGGAAAGAGCCTTAAAAACAGCCTGAAAACAACACGAAAAATGGCCTGAAAAAGGCCTGGAAAATGGCCCAAAATGGTCCGAAAAACAGCCTGGAATTGGCTCAAAAATGGCCTGAGAAACAGCCCCAAAATGGCCTGAAAAATGGCCAAAAACTACCTGGAATTGGCCCGAAAATGGCCTGAGGAACAGGCCCGAAAGCCTCCGCAAAAGAGGCATGCGCACACTGGCCAGCTTGTCTTTGGTTTTCCGGTGCTCCAGCAGATGCGCATGGACACGTGTTCTGGTTTGGGCACTCGGTGCCGAAAAGGTTCACCATCGTTGTCCTAGGATGTGGGTGGGCTTGCCGACCAGGGTGGGCTTGGATGACCAGAGCCCACCTGCCCCCTCCCCAAAAAAAGAGGGGGAGAAGAAGACAAGGAGGGGCGGGGGGGCGAGGAAGAACCTATGGGGAAAAAAAACTTTAGCAGAGTTTGTCTTCCGGGGGAACTTAGCGCCACTAAAGTTCGATTCTGGGACTTTGTGGTTTGGCAAATGGCCTGAGTCATCCTTTCTCTTGTCCGTGCGGCTGTTTTGGGGGCTGCTGATCGCAGCTCCCCGGCAGCCATTTTGTGAATGCAGAGGGCAGAAGGGGGTAGAGGGTAATATTTGTTTGTTTGTTTGTTTATATCCCACCTTTATTATTTTTACAAATCACCCAGACTAGCATACACACCCAACGCACCACCTTCCTCCTATTTTCCCTGCAACAACAACCCTGTGAGGTGGGTTGGGCTGAGAGGGAGTGATTGGCCCAAAGTCACCCACCTGGCTTTTATGCCTAAGGCATAGACAGACAGACAGATAGATGAAAGAGAGAGAGAGATAGATGATAGATAGATGATAGGTAGATAGATAGATAGATAGATAGATAGATAGATAGATAGATAGATAGATAGATAGATAGAT